CTCTCCCTGGACTTCACACTGCCTTCCCAGCATATCACTCGGCTGCTGGGGGGCAGGAACAACTACCTCTGCCCCCTGTAACTCAGCCTGTCGCTGGGGAGGGAGGACACTGCTCTCCTCTCCTCTCCCTGCACTTCACACTGCCTTCCCGGCATATCACTCTGCTGCTGGGGGGCAGGAACAACTACCTCTGCCCCCTGTAACTCAGCCTGCCGATGGGGAGGGAGGACGCTGCTCTCCTCTCCCTGCACTTTACACTGCCGCTGGGGAATGGAGACTGGGCTCCCAATTCCCTGCAGGACCGGTGGAGAGACCTCGGTCCCATCTCCACCGGCCACCAGGGGTTCTTCCCAGTAACACTCCACAATATCTTCCCAGCTGAATGGGTCTGACTCTGGGTCTCCGCTTCCCTGCTGAGCCTTCTCACTGGAGTGGAACAGATTTTGGTAACCCTGTTCCAGCTCCATCTCTCGGGTCACCAGGTGGACCAGGTCTTGCTCACTTTCGTGAGTGTCATCCCAGTCATACCTGCTCTCCCTCCACTCAAAGAGATCACTGAACCGGGCTTGTGTAGCGCTCCCAAACTCAGGCTCTGCAAAAGTCTCCCATAACAAGCCAGGACCATCAAACTCCTCTCCCTCTGGCTTGTCATGCTCGGCTGTCCAGGGCAGGTATTGTGCCCCATACCACCAGAGCGCCTGGTAGGCATCTTCTAGCCACATCTCCTGCCATACTAGGTGTTCCAATTTCCTCACCCATTCCTCCAGGGGCTGCTCTCCTAGGAAGGGCATCCGCAGGGCTACTTGCTTCTGCAACCGCTGGTCTTCCTTGGGGAATCTCTCGCCCCGCTGGTACTCCGCAATACCCAGTGCCTGGTACCAGATGCCTTTACGGACTGCATCTCGGTCATCCATGGCACCCTCATCATACTCCACTGCTGGTTCCATCCTGGTGCTGTCAGGGTCGCTGTACTAAGACATGCGTTGCCCACAAATTGTAAAATCCAAAGAAATGGTGTCTCCTGTAGCTGTCCTTCTGGCTGTAGGAACGATCCCGCCGCTTGCCACCAATTGTAACGGACCGTTTTGCACACAAGGGGTAAAAACCGTTTAGGCGATCGGCCCCCTTTCCAGAGATACAGGCACAGCTACTGCAGAACACCAAACTCCCGAACTGGATACAAAATAGCACTCCAACTCCCGAACTGGAACCTCCCAAATAGCTGCTAGCAGACGAACAGGAAAAGCAGACAATCAGCTTACACTCCTGGCAATCAGTCTCTAACAGCATACAGTGAATCCCCCCAAGAACGAGACAAGGCTCCGTGTTGAGGGTCAAGCAGTGGTCTGAGGTGCTGGCACACTCAGCCTGGTTTTTATTACAGTCTTTTCAAATACAGGACCGCCCACAGGGAGGTATAAAACAACCAATCACATATCAGTTACATCCCACATATTCCCTCCCCTTATCCTGAGAGGAAACTCAATTACACATACAGTTAAAACATACTTTCTACCCAACTTTCATAACTCTAAAACCATACATCACATTCACATAAAATTACATATTCACAATCAATCCATTCAGGGGAACAACATATTAAAAAATGGCATGAATCAGACCAGGGGTTCAAAAGTTAGTAAAAGTATCTTTTGAGCCCTGGCTGGCACATGGCTATCTGGCTCAAACAGGTTTTACAGAGACCTCTAGCCTGGAGACAATGGGGAAAATAATCCAATTATCCAGGGATAGAGGCAGACTCCATTGAGCACATGGTTGCAAAAAGACATAAAACACTTTCAAATACATAAAGTCACCTTTTACACATAACACACAGACATAACACACAGCTGGGATCTGAGCGCACAAAACTACCGAATAGCGCTCAGATCCTATTCACACAGTTCAATTGCCATGGAGCCGAAGTCTTTAACTACACGAATGGGCTCAATGGCATAGCTATCTGGGTTAACACATTTACATAAAGTCTGGTCCATAGTCCAAAGGCAGCAGGCGGGCAGCCAGGCTTCTCCAATGCAATGTGGCGAGATTGCTGTCGTCACAATCATTGCCTCTCGCATAGAGACAGCCACTTCCACTTCTCACTACTCCTTCACCCCATGCACTAGTCATGGAGGCGGCCAGAGGGGAAGGCTCGGGTGCACCATTACTTTAATACTGGGGTAGGCTATTTCACTGCATGCAAGGTTTTGCACATCTGCTCCAGAACCCACCTAGCCCACATACGCGGACCGTCTGTCACCTAAGATACACCCAACTAACGCCCAAGGTAACATCGATATCCTGGAATACTATCTGCATTTACACCCAGCTAGGCATCGGGTATATTCTGGTGCCAGGTTTCTCACAGGGGTTCACATGGGCCTTATCGGCATTCCCACAGGTACACTCGTATGCCCTATCCCATTATCTGCACTCATTGACCTCTTACAGTGGACCACCTTCTGCCCACAGTAGTCATACGCTGGTTTCACGATCACCTCCTTCCGGTCTTCACACTTCTCATCTTGGCATACCATTCCCATCGAGGTAGCCATTCACTATACTCTATAATACGTCTGATCATAGACCTCTTCCACACCGCACTCAACATCCATTCCCAGCATCAATCTCCCTCATTCCTGCTATGGAGTTCTCACTGCACTACGCAAATCGACCATGCCATACAAACTATCACTTCAGCAAGTAGTTTGGCTTGGTTGAGCAAGACAGACTTATCAATGCCTTTAATCTACTACCTATTCACCCTTCACTATGGCACCTGGCCTACCTTCGGGTGGCCATCCTCGCTAACCATTTTGTGGCTGATTCACAGGCTGGCTTGGCTGGCAGCAACCTATCAGCTCTTTTTAGTCTGCTTTTACATTCCTGGTGTCCACAACACAGCCGCTGATGCTCTTTCACACTTAGTTTAAGGTCTTCTTTCAGGCACTCTCTATGACCCACTACATACCATCCAGGATACCACCTTTCCATGAGATAAATCTCACCTCGCACAGGTACGCACGCTTCATGCAGTTTCATGACTACTCTATCAACCACGCCAAGGCTTTGTATATTGTTCCATGTCACAAGTAGAGTTTGCTTGATTCAAGACTTTTACACTTAACCTATTGTAGTTTTTGCCTCTTCCTCTAAACCTACAAATCAAGCATCTTATTTATACCTCCTATGCTATCACTATCAGTACTAATCCATTACTTCACATCTAAACCTTCCATTAAGGTAAGCTACATCATGGCTTCCTTCGCTGGTCTCTCTTTTTCACAAAAGCGCTGCATCAGCAACTTTCACCTCGTGAGGGCCTGCCTGGCTTAACGAGCTCAGTTACATATATACCTCAATCAGAGTAAAAGCTCCTTACAAGCTTTCAGTACACAAGCTGTATAAACTTGCAATAAAGTGTGTTTCTTTGAATCCTCTTTTGCCCTCTTTTTACAGGCCTACTCGTACGTTGGTTTTGGCACACCTCAACCAACCTTGCTTCCCCTTCTACATTCCATTACGTATTAGATCAATTCCGAGCACAAGTTAGAAGGCCATTTGGCCTGAATTTGTGGGAGGAGTTATGATCCTATTTAAACCCTACCCCCCTACTTACCTTTGTCGTGCAAGCTGTTTGTCCCCACCCACCTACACCCATCTATATTAACAATTCACCTTTGTGGGCCCTCTTTTTTACAGGCCTACTCGTTCATTGGTTTCGGCACACCTCAACCAACCTTGCATGTCCCTTCTACATTCCATTACGTATTAGATAAATTCTGAGCACATATATATATATATATATATATATATATATATTTGTCTCTGGGTTGTAGCATTCAACACCCCCCTGCTGTAGACACCATGTCTTATCTCAGGTTTTATCTCTGCCGTTTACATAAATTACATTCCCTAGCTCAGACTTGAATGAATAGGGTTATAGAGAGAAAAATGTGTGTCTGTCTTTTGCATTGTAATACAATATGGAGTCACCTCTGTTCTGATGGTGACTTACACTACAATCTGAACTGACATCTTTGAACCAGGAAGCCTCAGCTCAGAGAAAGAGGAGGCCTGTGAATTTAGAAGCAGGACAAACCCCTCCCACCATTACAGGCTCCGCCTTTCCATATATGATATTATATGCAAAGATATGCAAATAGTAAATTGAGCGAAAATTATAACAATGTTTCAGTTTTGTCAAAAAACTTTCATCAGGACAAAAGCTTAACATGTACACACAGTGTTTATATACCTTTAAAGAAATCAAAGTTTTCACCTACCTTGTGTAGTTTACTGTTTCTTTTTTATTGTTAAGATTTATTTTTATCACATCATAAATCACATCGACCCGCAACCTTTTATTGCACTGAAAGGGTAGATTTCCATGCAGCATGCATGGTGGTTTAGTATTTGAGTTTTGATGGGAAGTAGATCTTCGCTTTGTTTGTGTAATATTTATTTACATGAATACTTGAAGCTAAGATGCCATCTAGTAAATTGCAAATGGATTTGTGGTTTCTATGCATTCCTAAGGATCACGTATGGTCTACACAGATACATAGTAATATAGGCTGATAAAAGATTACACTTTATTTTATTGTTTGTGGATGCTTTACTTACCCATGGCAGCTAGTAAACAGTACTTTTAAATGAAACTGCTGCCAGATTTTCTTTACCTAATTGAACTAACAAAACAGATACAAGTCAAACGAATTTACAAAATGCTTGTCAAGTATATTGTGAACGTAAAAGGATGTCTCTTTATACAATGTCTCAGAATACTGTGTCTTCTGTAATGTTGCTCTTTTTTTCAAACCGAAAGAAAGCTTAAATAACATGTAATATATACCCTTTAGGAGATTTGAATAATGGAGATTCTCTTTGCACATACAAGGTGTTCATGCCTGTATGCTTCTCTAAAGTATTTGCATAGAAAGAGAGGACCTGATACTATTTATGAAGGCATGATAGAGCTTTTTCTCTACAGGAAAGCACATTCAGAGAAAATGGATCTACTACTGATTACATGTGTCTTAGCATTGATATTCTGTATGTAATCCTGTTGCTCTCTAGACCTGTTTATGTAATATTGCTTATTGTGACACATTATTAAATCAGATACTTTTTTTTTTCCCCAGATGTTGACTCCCAGAGTCCTCTGTTAACACCAGCTACTCTTTCAGTGAATAAAGGACAAACTGCAACATTTAACTGTGATGTTGGAGTTAAAAGCAATGGTGCTATACCTTTCTACAGACAGTCACCAGGAGAGGTCTCGCAGCTTTTGGTATTGCATCACCATTCATACACAGAACCTAGATATGGACCAGGAATATCATCCGCACATTATGGCTGCACTATAAATAGTGCTGGGACACAGTATCAACTGATTATCAAAAACACAGTCGGCTTGGATACTGGTTTTATTTACTGCGCTAAATGGTATGATAATGTAGGAAACCACTGTGATACACAGCTCAACAAAAACCTAGCAGAAGTACTAGAGACAAATCAACATTTCCTGTTAATTTTTTTTTGACTCATTTTATTATGACTGTGTTTTCCACTGATGAGTTAATACAACACTATAACTGTTATTTTAAAAACTTTAAATAGTGATTTACATTTATAATGGTAATAAATGTTTACAACCAGGTGTCTGGCTAGGTTCCAAAATGATCTGTCTTCTTAGCGCAAAACAAAAGGTTAAAAATACCTCCTCAAGGCAGAACCCAAAACACTATGTTTTAACTCCTGAGCTATCTGTCATCCTAATCATGTTTGTTTTCAGTATCAACCATCATCCTGCTTGTTCTGTTCCCCTACTTATCCTCAAACTCTTGAACATCTTCCCCTAACTTGTTTGTCTCTCCCATCTGTATTCACCCCTCTAGTATAGGGGTAGGCAACATTTTAGCTGCACTGTGCCAAAAACAATACTTGGAAGTCTTGTTGTGAGTGTGGCTTGATATTAACTTTATTTAATTAAAATAATAAGGAAACCTTAATAACAACAACATTTATTTGATCTATTTACAAATTTTGTCTTGATCTAAAAATGGTAAACAATATTAGATATTGCAATTGATTATATGGAAAGAAATGTAATGAGCCGTTGTGACCTGTAATACAATTTTTCTTAACTAATAATAGCCCAATTTCTAAACAATTTTATGACAACACATTATAATTATGCAACAGTTAATGTGTGGATAAAATATATAACAATAAATGAATACATCCCTTTAGTTACTGTTACTCCTTGGTGAAATAGGTCGGTGATCTCTGGTTCTTACTACATACATAGCTGATAGCATTGAATGCAGTCCTCTAGTTAGATGCACATACAATTCTGGAAGTTCTTTTTCCTAGCTTAGATAGATTTGGAATAAAGCCTGCACAGACCCTGCATTAAAATCCTAATACAATCCACATACAGTGGTAGTCTTTGAGTTATGGTTACAAAGAGTCAGAATCCTTCTCTCTTGCCTTTCACAGACCTTCATTACTGTAGCTTTGCACTGACTTACCTCTTCCCATCCTCCCAGTATGCTCATTTCCTATACTATTGTTTCTGTATACTACTCAAGTGGCCATAACCGAAAGCTGTATGGCAACAGGGGCTAAGGTACACTTGAGCTTCTAATACTATACAGTTCATAACTGCAAGCATTTATATAATATCACAAACACACAAGGTGGGATAAGCGCTAGGGGGTCAATTAATACAATAAAAGAAAATGGGCTGCAAACATTTAATGTAAGGGATACCCTCACCTCCTTACTGGACAGAAAACAAAATTATACAAAACACAAAAAACAAGTTGCGCCAAATACTGTGTATAGAGTCCAAAAGGTCATACAAATCCTGGGAAGTTCCCTGCTGGAAATCGTCCTGGCTTTGGTATGGTGGTAGGTTTATATACCAAATAATCAGAAAATAACCAATAATAGCGCAGATGATCAAGTAGTATGTGTAAGACGCACAACAAGGATATGTGAAATCCCATTCACATTTGGTAGAGCAATAGACCAGCTCTGGGTAAAACAGCCTAAAGTGGTATAATCTCCTCTGATGGATATGTAGTTCTTAGAGATTAGTGTCAACACATCAATAGTGCTTACTGTGTAAAACAAAAAACAGGTTAAAGTAAGTGGTAAATTATTCACATTTAATAGAGCAGTAACCCCTCAAGTAATAGTGACTGTGGGGTGGTATGAATCCCACCAGGAATATAATGTAGAGTAAGATACTCTAGGAGACAATCCTTACCAGGGATAGATTGTTGTGTAGAGTAGATCATTTAGGAGTGTGAATGTACCAGGAACAATAAAAAGCTAAAAATAATAATAATAAAAAGTGAAATAAATGGTCACATTAAAATAGGTGAAAGCCAAATATACATTAATGCTTAAAAGCTATTTTGAAATAAACGCAATTCATTTCGCCAAACAAAGGGCTTTTTCATGTGTAAACAGTTTGTCTGGCACATAGGGTATATACAGGAGTTAGACAATTGCAATTGATTAATACCGAGAGAAATACGAAAAGTAAATGGTAAAGAGTCTTAATATACAGATATATCATCGTCATTAGGGGGATTCTTCTCTTAATAAATAATTATTAAATATATGACTAGAGAGTAGGAACTCTCATGGCACATGTGTATGACTCTCCAGACACCCTTTATGCTTTATCTGTGAAGAATGTGTCCTCATTTTCATTTTACAAAATGTGCAGATTTCAATAAAAATTAATACTTTTATGAATTAACTTTGTTACATTCCCCTGGCTATCAGTAAGACAACTGATCCAGCTTTTTCCTCTTTTTTGTAATTCATGAGGAAGGAAACTGCCCAGAACACCTGTCTTGCAAATATTTCATTTTCAGCTGCAATGTCAGGGTGACTGGCAGGAGGGGAGCACACAGCACAGTCGCTTCATGTAGAGCAGCCGTGTGGACCATGAAAGAAAATTTTCTGCATCCCCTACCTGGTCAGACAGGAAGCTTTTCATTGGGAACAATGAACAACTTACTGTCTGACTGGTTAGAGGAAATAGAGGATCATCTATTGCAGTCTGCACAGCCATGCTACAAAAAGAGGTAAACAGACATAGGAAGGGGGAAGAGACCACAAAGGGACAGTGGGCTGGGAAAGTGGAAAAGAGACACATACAAGGGCTGAGGGGAGAAAGTGATATGCAGAGGGGAAGGAAGGAGAGACACACAATGAGGCTGGAGAGAAAAAGACACACAAAATGTACTGAGGGAGAGAAACAGACACACAAATGAGTGTTGGCTCATGACAACCCTAGACAAAACCAGATATTTAACCCCTTAAGGACTGGACCTTTTTTGCGATGTTGTACATTTGCGACCAGGCATATTTTTACACTTTTGTGGTGTTTGTGTTTGGCTGTAATTTTCCGCTTTCTCATTTACTGTTCCCATACAAATTATATATTGTTTTTTCAGGACAAAAGGGGCTTTCTTTACATACCATTATTTATATAATCTCATGTATTTTAATTTAAAAAAAAATACAAAAATCTGATGAAAAATTGAAAAAAATACATGTTTTTTTACTTTTACTTGAAAAATCTTTTACTCATCTACAAAAGTGAATGAAAAAACTGCTAAATAGATTCAAAATTTTGTCCTGAGTTTAAAAATACCCTGTGTTTACGTGCTTTTTTGCTTTTTTTTGCATGTTATAGGGCTATAGGTACAAGTAGGATATTGTGGTTTCAAAACATACATTTTTAAAATTTATCAATAGTGACATTGTAACACTATTATCTGTCATAAATCTCTGAATAACACCCCACATGTACATATATTTTTAAAGTAGACAACCCAGGGTATTCAATATGGGGTATGTCCAGTCTTTTTTAGTAGCCACTTAGTCGAAAACACTGGCCAAAGTAAGCATTCATATTTGTTTGTGTGTGAAAAAAAGTAAAAAAACTAAATTGAACGCTAATTTTGGCCAGTGTTTGTGACCAAGTGGTTACTAAAAGACTGGACATACCCCATTTGCAATACCTTGGGTTGTCTTCTTTTGCAAATGGTATGCCATCATGGGGGTAATTCTCATTCCTGGGCTACCATACGCTCTCAAAGGCAACGTAACCAACCTGGCCATTTTCAATGTAAAAATATTTGACCCATATATTTGACCTTGTAACTCTCAAAAATGCTATAAAACCTGTACATGGGGGGTACTGTTTTACTCGGGAGACATCGCTGAACACAAATATTAGTGTTTAAAAACTGGAAAACGTATCACAACAATTATATCATCAGTAAAAAAGCTGTTTGTGTGTGAAAAATGCAAAAAAAGTAACTTTCATTGACAATATCATCGCTGTGATATGTTTTACTGTTTTGAATCACTAATATTTGTGTTCAGCGAAGTCTCCCGAGTAAAGTTCTCAAAGTACCCCCATGGTTTTAGGGGTGTCGAGAACGCTACAGGGTAAAATACAGTGCTAGCAAATAAAAATTCTCTGAATTTTCGCCTGGGGTTGGCAGGTGGCAGGTCCTCTAAATTGTAATCAATAAAATTACTGAATTATGTAATATTACATAAATACACGTATAAATATATATGCATATTTATATATTTGAAGTCTGTGTATATTTATATAATTATTTTAAAATTTTGTATATGGACATATGTATATTTCCCTTGTATTATTTTTATTTATTTTTATATACATAGATATATATACAAATTCATTCTAAGTGTATTTTGATATAAATATATATATATTAATTTTAAAATACAGTTAGAATAAAATTTCATATAGCTATATAATTTTTTAAAATTTTTTTATTATTATTTAAAAAAAAATTATTTAATTTAAATTACTTATTATTTATATTTTATAATAATATATATATACAATATATATAGTTATTATATATATTATATATATACGTGTGTAATTTAATTATAAGTGTATTTTATATTAATATAAGTACATATTAATATAAAAATACACTTAGTATGACATTATATATATATGATATATAGACATATATTATATAAATATAATATATGTCTATATATCATATATACACATATATAATTATTATTATTTTTTTTATTAACACTAACTTTATTTTTTTTAATGATTTTACACTAGCAGGGAGACTGCCTGTCAGCACAGACAGTCCCCCTGCAGGCAGATACATGGACACCTATTGTGACCATGTGATCGCTGTGTTGAGCGATCACATGGCCACAGGGGTCCTAATCTGCCGTGGGGAGACTGTCTGGGCTGCAGGCAGTCTCCCCACAACCGGAGCCACGCTGATCGCCGCCGGGGGAACGACGGCGATCAGGTAAGTACATTGCACCATTAGGACGGTTCAGGACCGTCATCGGTCGGCAATGGGAAAATGCCGATGACGGTCCTGAACGGTCCTGGGTCGCGAAGGGGTTAATAAAGTGTTATAGTAGTTGGAATTTATATTCCTTTATCTGAAGTGGTTTT